ATAACACAATAAATTTTTACACATCAATGTAAATAATTTAAATAATATAATTTTATATTATTACACGTATCGCAAAACTATTTTGACGTATGCTCATGCTTTTCAATTTTACAAACACAAAATTTAATTGAAAATAATTAATATAATATTTTTTCAAATAATCATAATAAACAATAATTATAATAAAAAAATTATAACGAAAAATCGCACGAACTTCTAAATTAAATATGAGAAAATTATCAGAATTATTTCTCGTTGACTGAATTGTTGTATTAATTTATAAGTTAGAGGAGAGAGATTTGAGGAGATGTGAGAAAATTAACAGGGAGCGAAGGGTATTTATAATCATATAAGGCGCGATACCTGCACCGCGTTATACCTACGTGTAAGTCATGTTAGCGTATAGTGCGGTACATGGGGCGCGTTATACCCATTGTGACGCCAAATCAATATATAACACGGGTCTGAGAGCGCGCTTTATTGTTACGGATATTAAATCAAAAAATATAATTTAATCGATATTAAATCAATAAATAAACCGATCACCGATGATTTTTTCGAATAAAACACCTAGAAACGATTCCATTGGTAAGGGTTGGTCCCACATTTTGGACTAAAATAAAAAAAATGGGGGAAGAAGCGGGAGGACGTGAAAAGAGCATAAAAAGGAGTTAAATGGTAAACAATTTGGAGATCCGAGCATTGTCATGATTGGGCCTAGTAATCAGACGCTTGCCAATTGTACGGCATTCACCTCCCTCGGGAGCAATGAAACCCAGTAATTAAAAAGAAAAGCTAATTAAACTGAAATAATTGAAACAAAAATATTAATTGAAGTGTCATTAAAAAGGTAGAACGTAAAAGTAATTTTGAATTTGGAATTAGTTGGTAAAAAAAATTAACACCTTGTGGTTGCATTGAGTGAGTGAGGAAGCCAGTCCATTTATTTGGTAGTGAAGGTACTATTGGTGCTTTTATTTTACCAACAATTCCTACCACGAGATGAATTCAAACAGGCAAATACCACTTTTATGTAATATATATAAGGACCACAATAAATGTGCAAAATAAACTAGGGCTCTAGGCTACGAGCCAAAAATACAATAGGGTTTTAGGGTTTGTACTTCATGTGCATTCCCCTAAGGTTTTAGGGTTGCCGGATATTCTTTTCCGAGTAAATTAATAATGTTAATTTATACCATTATTTCTGGAATTTTGGCATCAGGCAATATATGACTATTGATAATTGTGCATTAAAAAACAACCTCTAGATTTGGTGTCGATTGTATTTACTGTCCTCATAACTTGTATACTATAAAAGTAAACAAATTTAAATATGATAAATTATTTTTATTGAAAAATAATAAATTAAAAAATATATTAAAGTACTTAGAACATATATTATTTTAAAATCACTTTGATTTAATTATTAAATGAACTTGTATACTATAAGTTATTGTTGAGCCAAGCCTTCATGTCAAGGAGGAAGAAAGAACGGTGTTGGAGTGGTCCAGGATGGCTAGTACGTCGATATTCCAAGTCCCGCCGGACCCCGCGAAGTCTGGCTATGGCAATGGGCTTATTGGTGCCAATGCAGCCAAAGATGGAATTGTTTTAAGAATCAGCTGTAGCAGTAAATTTCAAGATGGTGGTAGAGATAGAGGGGGAGGATTCCCAATTCTCTTTAACCATACAGTCAAAATCAGCATGGAAATACCACCCAGAGAAATATTTAAAGTGGCGATTGAAGGCATGATTATTGAGTTACTGACTCTGAGGAAGATATGTACATGGTCAGAGCGCATACGGAGGAGGTGAAAGACAACAAATTCAGGTAAGGACTCGTCCTAGTGAGAGTTACAAATAAATATGTCCAGACGAAGGAAGGAGGAACCATGAGACGAAGTGAAATTGGGGCCTTGGAAACACATATCACGAAGGTCATAGTTAAAAACAAAGTTTTAGAAGTCACAAATAGGTTTGGAAGACACATAACCTTACGATCTGAGGTGTTAAGGGTGGTGTTGAAATCACCCACGAGGAGCCAAGGGGAATGAATAAAGGAAGCAAGAGCGTCAAGATGGGGCAAGAGGTTTGAACGGGTGGGACTAGTATATATCAGCGTGGCAAGGGATGGGTTACCATTGGAGACTAAAGTATTGGGGAAATGAATAAATTGAAAATGATTTAGAAGAATTTTGATGTGTACCGAGTGATTCCAATAGAGCTAAATACTGCCAGAGAAGCCAGAGACTTCAACGTAATGTGAGAAAGGAAAACCAATAGCAGAGATGATGCCATCGGCACGAGCGCCATTGATACTTGGTTCGATCAAACCAACGATGTCGGGTTTATGGTCTCGAAGATACTGACAAATGGTGTTGATAAATTTAGGGTCACCGCAACCCTGAACGTTCGAGCTGAAGAACATAATCATCATAAAAAAAATAAAATATGGGTAGAAAAATACCGACTTTATTCTATCATAAGAACTGAGGGTAAATCTCCCTCGTAAACATGAGAGATTCCCTTGGTGGCATGGGTATCTTGTTCAAGTTGCTCTTGGAGCATAGAAATATTACCTGAGGCAGTCACCAAACCTGTGGAACGACCAAACGGATCAAGCTGGGGTGGACATCTAGTACTTGTCACAACGTGAGAGGAAGGAAATGTGGGATTTGGGATGTTGGGGTTGGTAGTCTTGGCCAAGGTGATGGAGGTGTGATTGGATTTGTCCAGATTTGATCGGGGGCGACTAGTGGAGGACGAGTGAGAGACTTGAGGGGAGTAAGACTTTGTTTGGTCGACGAGGGCCTGGTTCTCACGGTTAAGGCGACTAGTTTACTAATCGTGATGGGTTTCCGACCAGGTACGATGATTTTTTGCTCAGGACAGATTAAAAAGCAAGATATTTATCAGTGCTCGAAACATGGGTTTTGGGACGAGGTGAGGCATGGATGGTCTGGGCCGAGCGGGGAGAGTCGATGTCACAATCTTTAGCAGTTTCAAATATAGGGTTGTACCTAGAACCTGAGATCAGAACATTGCTTTGGGAGGAGTCTTTTTCGATGATCTCCTTTGACGACGCTCAACGAGCATTCATGGGCCAAACATGGAAAAATCCAACTCAGGGGCGGGAGGAGGCTCTTGGGGAGTCTGAGGCTCCTGAGGGCAGGCTTGAGAGTGGGGAAGAGGTCTTGAACATGGCCGTAGTTGCTGTAGGCAAAACAAATAGTCGACAAGGATTCATATTCGATGATTTGTATCCGACCATTAATCAAAATCTTGGACGTTAGGGACTTACTCAGATCGATGCTAATAGTTACTCTGACGAAACGATCGCGGCGACCGGATTTCATTTTGTAATCGATTTTTACAACTTTCCCGATGCACTCACCGATCTCTTGGATAAGGCTTCACTTACAAAGGGTGATCGACAACCCTAGTAATTTGATCCAGGTAATGACTCTGTTTGGGTGAGATTGAGAGGGGAGAAGTCAATCGTCCACGGTTCAACCATCAAGTAGTGTCTGAATATCATCAAGGGTCCGTTGGCTATGGCTTTGAGATAATCAGATCGAGAAGCGAAAGAAACCAGAAAGTGTTCGTTCTCTATATCCATGGTTTTCATGAGATAGTAGGCTTCCAGAGATCTTGGAGGCGGTTACGAAAGGTAGTGTATCCAATTTTCCGACCCAATAGTTTGACAATAACGGTCTGATCAAGGCTCTTGATGGCAAGATTTTGAATTCTAGCCGAGAAATCTATGGTAATCATTTCATCAACGGTGCTTCTGGTGACATCGTTATCCAATAATTCGAAGTCTTCATCATCAAAGAGCTGGTCATCGACATCAACCGGAGGGGGAGAGGTTCCGAAGAATGTGTCTTTATATGAGGGAACGTCATGGATCATTTGGACAAGGGGTTCGACTTGATTAACAGTGGTATCAGCAGGCTCCATGTTGATGTCCATGGTAGCGGGGAGTGAATCAGAGGATGGAGGCGAGGGGAAAGAAGCATGATCCAAGGATGAGGAGGGATCATCCGGTGGTTTATCGTCCGATCGACGGGCTTTCTTGGATCTGCGATCGTTGGGGGCGGAAGAGAACGTTTGGTGCATCTTCAGAAATCGTCTTTTATTCATACTTGTTTATATATATATATATATATATATATATATATTATTTATTATTTTGTTCATTTTCGTTGCATAATAATACATAATAAGAACGAGTTACCTAAAAAGTGACACATAACAAAATAATATTCTTATTATGTATTATTAGTCCTTAATGTTTCATTAATTTTTTAAAATGAAACATTAAGGACTAATGTTCATTTTCGGATGGCTTAAAATGTTCATTTTTAAAATGTTTAGTAATATTCTTATTATGTATTATTAGTCCTTAATGTTTCATTAATTTTTTAAAATGGTCATTAAATTTTTTAAAATGTTTATCTTATTATTTTAGGAATCTAATGTGATATTTTAAGCCATCCGAATAATACGAATCATATTTACAATGTTATATTTACTAATGAATAATGATTGAAGAATATCTCAAACGATAACAATAACATGATTTTAAGAAAAATATTTATCTCTTTTAATTTTTAGATAATTTTCAAAATAAGTATATTGTTAGAAATTTTAGACTTTAAAAGTGGAAATGAAAAATAATAGACCTTTGATACTTAATCTTGCTATTTATCCCAAATAAAAGAGTTTCCCCCCAAAAATAAATTACGTTACAATATCATTTCCTAAGTGGTTCATGTGGGTATAACGAATTTCGTCATAAAATTAAGTGAAGTTATTAATGACGTAAGACTTTATATATAAAATTGAAATTATAAAAAATTATATTTAGTGATACCATATTAAAAAATCGAGTATATTTGATCTTATAAAACAATAAAAATATGTGAAAAGGGCCAATGGGGCCGCCAGACTAACCCCCAGATCCTAATATATGGATTCTGTACCTCCCTCCCTCTTCTACCTCTCCTTTCACTGTCAGATTAAAAAAAAAAAAAAACTGGTCCTTCATTTTTCACCCTCTGTTTTTGAAGAAGAAAGCCCCCTCCTTTTTTTTCTTTTCTTATATTCCCACGTTTTGGTTATACACACACCTTTGGTGACAACATTAAAACTCCATATTTCTCAAAAGAAAAAAAATATTGTGGGGGAAAAAGTTTCATGAAGAAATCTAAGATATCAGGTGACATAGCGGTGATGGGAGTTTCTCATCAGTCGACAATGGGGTCCCGTACCAGAGCTGCCAAAACTCTGGCTTTGCAAAGACTTTCGAAAACAACAACACCTTGCGGTTCGCCGGCAACCGGTGTCGGTTTGAACCCGGACATGTCTTCGTTTTCTTATCTTCAGCTGAGGAGTCGTAGGCTTGAGAAGCTGGCTTCCCCTGTTTCGAACAAGACGAAACAGAGACAAGAGAGGAAGGAGAGTGGTTTCCGAGAAGGGGAGAAGAAGAATGGCGGGAAGAAGAGTGAAGGGTGTTTTGGGAACATGGAGATTGTTGTCGGGGTGGGGATTTGCTGTGGAACGACAGAGGAGGCTTGTTTTAGTGGAGAACTCAGAGACAGGTCTGGTTTTCTTCTTCTCTTGGTGTTTTCTTAAAAAGAAAAAGAGTCCTTTTCTGTTCTTTATATTTTGGTTTTAACACTTGGGAGCTTTTCCAGCATTGTGTTGACTTATTTTCTTTTGAAAAAAAATACCTCATTTTTTATATTACGCGAGTTTTCTTCCATTGTTTCTTCTGTTTGACGCTTTAAATGACGAGTATGGTTCTCTTTGTTGCACGTTCTACTATTTTGCTTACCTTTAAGAATAGGATACCTTCAATACTAAAAATACTTGACAAAAACATGTTCGTTGTCTGGGTTTGCTTTTGATTATGAAAATTGGGTGCAAAGTTTAGTTTTTTATATGGGTAATTGACAGTACACGGTACAAAGAGAAGAAGAAAAAACATTTGGTTTGATCTTCCGGATTGCAACCCATTGTTTGCTTGTGTTTTCTCTGCGAAGTGCAAGAACAAAATAAAAATCTTTTGGCAATATTGACAGCAATCTCTCTTGTTTTTGGTAGTTTATGTTACTTCTTAGGATCGTATCTCTGCATTCAAAGGACTTTAAAAAGATGGGATATAGCTTAGATGTTAGCAATGATATATCAATTCGCTGGGCCTGTTTACAGACATGAATGTGGGATTCTCTGTGTAGCTGCAATAAGTGACAAAAGGTGGCAAATTCGTTGCTGTGCTTGTCTCTTCATTATATGAGGGCTTTGTTCCATTTTAATGAGAATATTAACTTTGTTTTGGTGTAAGATTAAGTGGTAATTTGTTTTTGCTGAGATGATTTGTACTTTTTTATGCAGGAGCACTAGAGAAAGCTCGTCATGTGGTTTGATAAAGGATTTCGAGACCATTGCAGCTCCAGTTTCGACCACAAAGCCAAGAACCTCCCCTTCGACTCCCCGAAAATGGTCGGGGAACGACGTGCAGAGATCCATCGTGGCAGCACAGGAAATGGAGGAGTTTTTTGCCTTTGCAGAACAGCAACAGCAGCGGCAATTCATGGAGAAGTAAGTTTGTTTTTGGAGTTTGTTTTAATCGTCTAATGTTTGCAGCCGACTCGAGTCTTATGAATCCGATTCCTTCAGGTATAACTTTGATATTGTGAATGAATTGCCTCTTCCGGGACGTTACGAGTGGGTGAAAATGATCCCATGAGCCAGGACCACCATTGATTCCAAGTTGATGTAAAGATTGATTGAGCCTTGACAAAGATGTGTAATTTAAAGATCTGTAACATAACAGAGCTGATGAATTACACTAACCCCAGATTACAAACCTCAAATAACTTCTTCAAAACAAAGATTAGTCTGCTAGGAATTGGCTGTTTTCCCCCCTCATCATTGTAACTGGTTTAGGAGTACATTAATGATCAATGTTTCTGGTTTTCCATTTTCCTGTTTTTTTCTTCCTCCCACGTAGTTTTCTTTCACTTGGTCTGGATGATCTCTGGAAATAAATGCAAGTCATTTGTCATTTCTATAACTTGTCGTTTACCATGTTTTTGTTTTTAACAATATCCATGAGCAACTCACGTGCAATTTGTATTCAAGTTTGCTATTCAATGCATCCAGCAACAAGATTTCATTTCAAAAGCACAAAAAGAAATCAAATTTGTGTTTGCTGAATCTGCTCCCATTCAATGTTGCAAGGACAATTGAACAGGCAAGGATAAATTTCTAATACAAAGAACCATACATGTTTCAATATGTCCCAAAATGGACTTCAAATTTTCTTTCAACCCAATTTGTCGATTTGCTCCCGCCCCCCTCTCGTATTTGTTTGCCTCAACCTCTTGTTTTCTCTCTGAAACTGTGGGTGAAGCAGTTAAGCTGCTGAGTTTGTCAACCGAGTCAGGCATTAATTGAGTGGTAATCAATGGCAGAAGGAAGAAGACCTTTGTTGTGTGTGTGTGTGTGTGTTTGTGTACCCCTATTCACATGGGACACTGTACGGTTTTCTAGTTTCTTTTTTTTACAGAGTTTTCAATGTTACATCTTCAACCTTCGATTTGACGTCTTCTTTATTTGCAGACATGTTATCTTTAATTAACTTCTAGATGGATTTGATGTAATAAAAATGTGGTTTGACGTGAAAGTCCTGGAATCCAGAAAGACAAAATTGAAATTCGAATCATTGCTTACGAAACAGTATACTACTATTTGACATTGATGACAGTGATGGTAGATTTGAGGGTCTATGGGATGACTTGAAATCCAAAAAGAAAAGAAAAGGTCTGAGAACATTTGATTCAGAGCCTCCAGAAGGCACCGGCAAATTAATGTTGGAGCGGTGAAAAGATCATAAGCATGAAAGCCATATGCTTACTGGATGGTGGAACAGTTCTTAACACCGTGCTACTGAACCCAGCTGCCAGCATGGTTCGACTCAGTGGGCTCGTTAACTCGGGAACAGTTCTTTAACACCAGAATATCAGTGTATACAGTTTGATCATTTCCCAATTTCCTGTTTCTTTTATGCAAAAAAAACAAACTCGACTACTGTGTGTAGGTATCAGGGCTATTTCTTCTGATAATCTGCTTACATGCAGATGGATAATCCAATAATTGAAGTTGCTTCAGTTGCAGAATTCTTCGCATCCCTATATTTTCAGTAAAATTGTTTGATATTATGAACCAGTCGGCAACGAAAACAAGGTAAAAACTCATATTAGTGCAATAATTTTTTTTAAAAAAATGGTTACTTCGCAAGTAATTTAGTTATCGTTGTAAATCATGGATCATGATTAGTGCTGGCCCCAACATGTGGGATAGACCCAAAAATCTTCACATGGAAAAAGGAATACTGGTAATCAGTATTCACTGAAAAGGTTCTTCCGCTGCTGCTGTCAAGGGCATGTGCAGCAACAAAAGATTCACTATGACACTCCATGGAAAACTACTTTTCCATTTCTAAAACAATTTGGAGGGTACTATTTACTGTTAGTTCACCGTCTATTTTGTTCAAACTTTTTCATAAAATATTCATATCGGTATTTGTTCATACAATATAGATACTTTGGATCGAGTTTTTCGAAATTAGTCCAGAAAAGGTGTTGAACTTTTATGCAGATGTAAGCTGTTATTTGGTAGCAGCGGCAAAGCAGCAACGGTGGTGTTTGATGTTGGGCCCAGTACTGGTGGTTAAGTGAACAGGGAACTAGCAGATTTCTTAAAGTGGTGACACAAAGAACAAGGAGTGTTCTTTAACCAGCTGAAGGAACAAGGAGTGTGGAAAAGAAATAATAGAATTGTTAGTAATCATGGAGGAAAAATGGGGCATTACAGCCTACAGGCATTGCGGTTACTTTCTTTCATTTTCAAACAATAAAAACGTGGGGAGTAGTCGTTTATATGCTTTCACAATTGCATGTAAATAAATTGGCAGTGTCCTGTTTTTGGATGCCTATTCGAGTTGGTATTAACTCTTGTAATCACATTTGATCTGCTAGATTGAATGATTTTTGAATTCTTCGCAGATTTTCTGGACATGGCTGATGCCCTCTTCGTCAGTCGTCACAAGAGTTTGTGGACTTTGTGCTTTTGACAGCTGTGGGCCTTGATATTCTCTTTTAAGATAAGAATTTTAATGTGACATACAATATGTCAAATTAAATCATTCATTATGAACAATATGATCGAGAGGAAGTCGATTAGCGAAAAGGCTTTACGTCAAACACAAGATATAGAGAATGCAAAGACAACACTGGATCAGAAAACTAAAAACAACATGAAGAGACCGAGCACATGGCGGCGACTTGAACCAAATTGGTGTAAAGTCAACACTGACGGGCTAGGGCCTAGGTGGCTGCTTACCAGAGAGGCATCTTGTGGTGTAGTAATCAGGGATCATAACGGGGAATGGATCTAGGGATACTCAAGAAGGACTGGTATTTACTGGTAATGCTCAATCCCATATAGTATTGTAAATACTATTGGGAATGAGTATTTATAGTATAGAATTCCCACTTCCTTATTGAGTGAAAGAGAACAAGGGGAACTCTCGCGCACCGCCGCCGTCGTTCGTCTCGGCACGGCACGGCACGGCACGGCTCGGCTCGGCTCGGCACGTGGTCATGATCGTGGTCGTGGTCAGCACGGTTATTTCAAACACATCCAGGGAAGCAAATAAGACAACAGATATTATAACGAAGTAGGCGAGGATCTCCCAAGATGATGAGCAGTTATTCAAGAATCCCCCGAAAGAGGCTCAAGACAGGCTGCGTCTGATAAACTGGATAGTTAATCAGGCTTAAATTTCTTTGTTCATCCAAAAAAATCATTTAAACTTAAGCTAATGCACAATAAATAATGCTTAATAATGCAAAATTTTCACTAAAATGAGCCCATTTATAGTCTTGACATTCAAATATGAGTCGCACACAATTGGACATGTAATAATATGCTTAAAATAAGTTAAACATCAAATTGGGGTTTTGAGTATTTATATTTTTATTTAAGATATCATTAGAACTTTTTATAAACACCAAAGACGAGGACATGTAATACTATGATTTCGCAACCCTTGACGACGTTTTAATCCTATCTTTTCGACATGCAGGAGACGGTACCTTATTCAATGTCGATACAGTTCAAAGGATATTAGTGAACTTTTCACAGCAAGATGATAGTGAAGAAAATTTGGATGATGCATCAGTTTTCGAATTCGATAGTCCTCGATCACCATCCCAAACTGCATTGTTTAAAGTTGCAATATTAGTGGATAATTATTTAGCTGAAATTGCTCCTGATGCAAACCTCAAGCTTGCAAAGTTCATGGCAGTTGCAGAGACATTACCTGAACATGCTCGGACTACCCACGATGGGCTTTATCGAGCCATTTATATTTACCTGAAAGTATGCGTGCTGATATTTTCCGATTTCAATAACCTTTACAGGCAACTCCCTAACTTTGTAATGAATGCGTTTTCAGGCTCATCAAGGCTTATTGGATGAAGACAAGAAGAAGCTCTGCAAACTGATCGATTTCCAGAAGCTCTCACAAGAAGCTGGTCCACATGCTGCTCAAAACGAACGACTTCATATCCAATCGATAGTTCAAGTTCTTTATTTCGAGCAATTAAGGCTCCGAAATGCCTTGTGTTGCTCGTTTCCAGAGGAGGACACCAAGCTGGTGGCGCATCACCATTCTTGGACAATCAACAGCGGAGCACACAGTGCAGCAATGTCCCCAAGAGACAATTATGCATCTTTGAGGCGAGAAAACCGGGAGCTTAAACTCGAGCTCACTCGGATGCGGATGAGATTAAATGATCTTGAGAAAGATCATGTTTGCATAAGGAGAGATATGGTGAAGTCTCGTTCACATAAATTTATGAGATCTTTCTCAAAGAAAATGGGTAAACTAAGCTTGTTTGGACATAGCTCTTCAAGAGGATCAATTTCCCTTCAAGGCAGTCATACAGAACTGATTCTAAGGTGATTGAAAGAACATGTGCAAGCACTGATTAGATGCAATGGCTTCTTTTCCCTTTCTTTGTCGAGAAAGGCAACAGTTTTCGGTGACCTTCTATGTTAATTCACCACGTTAATGTGTTTCGACCTTTTTTTTCTTTCGATCACAATGGGGTCGTTGTTAATCCTCGAATGCCTGCCCTGATGCACTGATTTCAGAAGACCTTCCTCTCCTTCAATGGTTGCCAATCTTTAGTTCTTCTTTAGCAAATACCTGTAAGAAAATGTCAAGGAAGAACATGATACATCCTGTTGTTTGTTCTCGTACTCAAGCCAGTTTTGTCAGTTAAATAATGTCGGTCTTTCGAGAAATGCTTGCAATAGAGATAACTTGTATCATCTCTTTTCATGATTTTGCACCATGAAAGGCATACCATGAACATTCAAAGACGTTGGTATTTATTTTGTACCCTAAGCTGAATGGAAGCACAAGGTGTAACCCCCTAGACCCGGCCTATGCGTTTCGACTAAGTCTAGTGGATCACATTATGATTATTAAAGAGATATTTTCCGAAACCGTTATTCCATCAATATAAAATAACATTATAAATAACATGAAATTATAAACAAATTATACTATCAAAATCCAACTCGTAAATATAGTACCCAATAAGTAATAAATTAATTTAAAACATGTCTTCAAATTCAAAATCACCATAAACCGAACAATAATAGCAAAAGAGTCATCATTATAAAATCCGATATTTTAAAATAAGGTCCATGTCACCAAAATAAAGTCAACTTGCAAAATAAAAACATTACAATCTGATTTACTTCAAGAGATATGTTGATCCTCCAAGTGCTCGAACCGAGG